GGATCAAGAGTTCAAAGCCAGCCTCAGCAAAAGTGAGGTGCTAAGCAACTCAGTGAGACCCTGTCTCTAAATGAAATACAAAAAAATAGGGCTGGGGCTGTGGCTCAGTGGTTGAGTGCCCCTGAGTTCAATCCTTAGTACCAAAAACAAACAAACAAACAAAAACCATAAAAGAAATATTTCATATTAAAGTTACCTTATAAATGGTTCTTTGGGGGATTTTTTTCTCCCTAAATGGGCAGTTTTGCTGAAAATATGTACATATTTGATTTTTTTTCATGAACCTGCATTCTTGCCTTTTTCTGAGTCTTCCTGTAGCAAACATCCATCTGTGAATGAAGAATCTTAGAATTGAATTAAATATTAAGGTCATTTGTTTCAGAAATTTTGATTGCATGAACACATCCAAAAGTCTCTGAAAATTGAACACACTGTTGATAATCCCAACAATTATAACTTCTAGTATGTTGTTATAAACAAAGTGGTAGTATAAGATACTGCCAACTTGTTCGCATTGACTAAAATTCCCATAAGATATGAGCTCAGTCACTGGTTACAGCTCAAACTGTTATCAGTATGGGTTTGGATCACTGCTGGGGTCATTGTTGGTCATTTATAATGAGAAAGGTGAAGAAGGGTGTACATAATATTATGTGCTAAAATACTAATACTTGAATAAATAGACTAAACTACATAAAAATTTAAGCTCTTGCCAGACTTGATGGTGCACGCCTATAATCCCAAGGATTTGGAAGGCTGAAGCAAGAGGATCACAAGTTCAAGGCCAACTTCACAACTTTAGTGCGATTCTGTCTCAAAATAAAATGGACTAGGGTTGTAACTCAGCAGTAAAGCATTTCTGGGTTCAATCCCCAAGTACCTAAAAAAAAATTTTTTTAAGCTTTTACTGGATATATTCACATGCAAAAGAATGAGGTGGGCCCTTTACCTTAAACCATATACAAAAATTAACTCAAAATGAATCACTAACCTGTATATAAAAGCTTAAACTATAAAACTCTTAGAAGAAAACAGGGAAAGGCTTCATGAACTCAGATTTATCTAACAGGGATTTCTTGGATGTGATACCAAAAGTATAGAAGCAAAAAATTATATAAGTTGGACTTCATCAAAATCAAACTTTTGTGCCTCAAAGGATGCTATAAACAGTGAAAATGCAACCCATGTAAAGGGAGAAAATATTTGTAAATTTATATCTGACAATTCATATCTAAAATATGAATATGTAGAATTCCTGTAACTCAACAACAAAAAAACTTATTTTAGAATGGGCAAAAGACTTGAATAGATATTTCTTCAAAGAAGATATACAAATGACTAATAAGCACTACCATTAATCAACAGGGAAATGTAACTAAAAAACACAATGAGGTACTATTTTACACTCTTTAGGGTGACTGTTATAAAACAACATACACACATACACACACAACAGAGTAAGTGTGGGTGAGGATTACCATATGATCCAACAATTCTACTTAGTTATGTAGTCAAAAGTATTAAAAATAGGAATTTGAAGAGATGCTTGTACACCAGTGTTCACAGCAGCATTATTTACAGTAGTGAAAAGGTGAAGACAATCCAAATGTCCATCAAGGATGAGTGGATCAACAGAAGGTGACATATAGGAATGTTATTCAGCCCTGAATGAAATTCTGATATAAGCTACCATGTGGATACATGTTGAAAACATTATGCTACATGAAGTAAGCTGGATGCAAAAGGACATGTGCTGTCTGAGTCTCCTCTTGTGGGGTACCAACAATAGTCAAATTCATGAAGACAGAAAAAAAGAATAGTGGTTATCAGGGACTGGGAAGAGGTAAATGGGGAGTTATTGTTTAGGTACAGGTTTCAGATTGTGCTGATGCACGAGTTCTGGATATGGATAGCAGTGATGGTTACACAATGAACTGTAAATGTACTTAATGCCACCAAACTCACTTAAAAATTGTTGATGGGGCTGGGGATGTGGCTCAAGCGATAGCGCGCTCGCCTGGCATGCATGCGGCCCGGGTTCGATCCTCAGCACCACATACAAAAACAAAGATGTTCTGTCCGTTGAAAACTAAAAAATAAATTAAAAAAAAATTGTTGAAATGGTGAATTTTATGTACATTTTACCACAAAACAAATATAAACTCCAGATAGATAAATAATAGAATATAGATATACAGAGATAAAATTTTTAACTCAAGAGAAAGAATATTTCAATATTATAGTTAAAATTGATATAAAAAGCTTATGTTAGCTGGGATATATCTCAGTGGTAGAGTGCTTGCCTAGTATGCACAAGACCCTGAGTTCAATCCCCAGCACCACAAAAAAAAAAAAAAAAAAAAAAAAATATATATATATATATATATATGTAAATAAACCACTGAATTTCTTTTTTTTTTAATTTATTTTTGGTACTAAGGATTGAACTCAGGGGCACTCAACCACTGAGCCACATCCCCAGCCCTATTTTTTTATTTTTTATTTTGAGACAGGGTCTCACTGAGTTGCTTAGCACTTCACTATTGCTGAGGCTGGCTTTGAATTCGAAATCCTCCTGTCTCAGCTTCCCAAGCCACTGGGATTACAGGCGTTGCCACCATACTTGGCAAACCACTGAAGTTCTGAGAAGAAAAATTAACAAGATATTAGTAGACAATTCACAAGAGGAGAAAAAAGTTAATAAATATGAATAATCTTCCTCCACACTGATGTCAAAGGAATGCATATTAAAATACTACTCTTCACCAATGAAGCTGACAAAGTTTTATAAACATTAACTATGAAGATTGTTCCTAGTGGGAACAGTTTGGAACAAATCATTGGAAGAGCAATGTGTTAATATCAAAACTTTTCACTCTAAACCTTTAATTCCACTTTTAGGAATCTCTCAAAAGTACATCATGATGTTCATTGTAGGACTAGATATTAACAAGAAAAAATTAAAAGGCAACTGATTTTTCAGATACAAGGAAAGGACTAAAGAATGTATCTGACTTAACACCACATATTAAAATTTATTTTGAAGAATTTTAATGACACAAGAATATGCTTTGGCTTGTGATGTGGAGCCAGGTGAAGAAGAATAATACAAAACTACTAACATGCTCTCCCAATTGCATGTGTGTGTTTGGGTGTGCAAAATCAAGACAAGACTGAAGGAAAGGAAATGTACCAAAATATAATATGGTTTCTCTGGGTGGTAGGGGATTTTATTTGTTTATTTACATTTCTCAAGTGTTCTACAAAGAATATGAAGTATAAATTATGTTAATATTTCTTAAGATGGTAATTCTTTAAACTAATTTTTAAAAAATAATCTTAAACTGGGCATGGTATCCTATGCCTGTAATTTCAATGACATGGAAGTTTTAGGCAGGAGGGTTGTAAATTCAAGGCCAAGGCTTAGGCAGGAGGATTGCAATTTAGCAAGTCCCTAAGCAACTCAGGGAGACCCAGTGTTAACTTAAGAAATAAAAAGAGTTGAGTATGTGGCTCAGTAGTTAAGCACCCCTGGGTTCAATTCCTAGTACCAAAAAAAAAAAAAAAAAAAAAAAAAAAAAGAAAGAAAGAAAGAAAAGAAAAAGAAATAGAAATAATCCTAAATACAGAAAAAGCTTGGGTTAGAGATTTTCAATCTGTGATTATTTATAATGGTAAAATATCAGAAAATTTGGGAAAGATGAAGTAAATCATGACATATGCACTTGGTAAACTATTAGGCAGCCATTGAACTCAAGTTCATAAAGTTTATCACAGCATAGTAAATATATGGAATGGAGTGAAAAGCAGAACACAAAATTATATACATTTGTAGATATACACACACACATATATATATCAAAACTACTAAAAATTATGTTACCACAAAAAGAAGGGAAAAAATAAGATGCATCAAAAGATTAATACAAGGTATCTTTGAATGATAAAACTTAATTTATTTTATTTTTCTTCTTTTTGTTAATCATATTTTTCATATTCTTATATGACTTTGATAAGAGAAAGATGTTTCAAAAATGTACAACACCTTGTTCATGTGTAACTGATGTGATTCTGCAATCTGTATACGGGGGAAAAATGGGAGTTCATAACCCACTTGAATCAAATGTACAAAATATGATATGTCAAGAGCTATGCAATGTTTTGAACAACTAATAAAAAAATGTACAACACCTAACTTAACCTGTGAAAATAAGAATTTTCAGTGGTTGTTATTTTCTTTATTTTCTATTTCCAAATACCCTAAATAGTATTTATTAATTCTTATCATTCAGAAATTTGTATAATTTTATAAAAGAGCAATAGGTGAGTGCTGTGAGGGCTGTTCTTCAGTGACACCTGCAGCTGTCTTTTGAGGCCTCTCCTAAGAGAATTGCCCATGACCTCATCTCTGCAAGCTGGTCATCTTGCCAGTTTTTCCCATTATGCATTTGTAGAGGTTATATATGAACTGATATGTGACTCTTGCCAGTTAAAAGCCCATGGTAATATTTTACCAAATTCTCTTCAACCTAAAAGGAGAAAACTGGGGTTCCTGGACTGTTAGGGTCTTGTAGCAATTATGGAATTGGTTTTTACCCACTTGGGAGGCAAGTGCCTTGGCCCTAGGCAGTCCCCACCTGGGGCAGTGGGCCAGAACTGGCCAGTGAGATCGCACCTAGCTCTCTCATCTGCCTGTCATATACTATGTGTGTCTCAGTTCAAGGAGTCAAATTGAAGTGTTTGTCACAAATTTGGATAAATATTAGTTTAATCCAGTTGTCCAGTACTGCATTAGTTACTTGTGGCCTCCATGAATAATCATAACCTGTGTGCTTAAAACAGAAATTTATGTCCTCAAAATCCTGGAGGCCCAAAGTTCAAAACCAAGTTGCCAGCAGGACCCTGCTTTGAAGGCCCCTGCTTCTAAAGCCTGCATTCCGGGTCTTGCAGCTACATCACTCTAGTATCCGCCTCTGACTCACCAGGGGCTCTCCCTGTAAGTCTGTGTGTTCTGACATGACCTCATTGTAACTTGATGACCTCTGTGTAGACCCTATTTCCAAATATAGTCACATTCATGGCTACACATTTGGAACTTCAAATCTCTTTTGAGGGGACACAATTTTTGCAACAAGCAAAATGCTGATGATAATGTGTAAGCAAAAAATTGTTGGTTTAGACTTGAAGTTACACCCTCCTCACCACCCGCCCTAGCCTCTTCAGCTATGATGTGGATATTGATCAGCAAAGCTTCTCTTGAAAGTTGAATGGCCCGCCTCAGCGCACAGTGTGACTGTAACTCAGTGCCTCGATTCATTGACCATTAGCAGGATCAGGGCCTCTGAGCTATAAAACTTACTTGAATGTCGGACCTGCTCTAGGGAGGAGTTCACAGGTTCACATCTTTGGAGAATATGACTCACCTGATCTGCTTGATGCTCTTGCAGTTCCAGGAGACATCTACACTGATTATGTTGCCACTCGGTGGTACAGGGCTCCTGAGCTTCTCGTGGGAGACACCCAATACGATTGTTCCGTCGATGTGTGGGCTGTTGGTTGCGTTTTTGCAGAGCTCCTGACTGGCCAGCCACTCTGGCCTGGAAAATCAGATGTGGACCAGCTTTATCTGATAATCAGAACACTGGGTATGAATTGTACTTTATGACTCACAGTGTCCCTAAAGTGTTATAATATTATTATGTTAGCGTAATGATAAGAGTTTTATTGTTTCTCCAAAGTGCTACTTAGGATGATGGTTATGGGTTCTGAGTTGTGGCCAAAGCCCAGTCCTTTTCTCAGTACATAGAGCCGTAGCTCTTCTCAGTGAGTTTTCAGATACTTTTCCAAGAAAAACCAACTAGCCATGGAATAAACTATACATTTACTTCCATGGTGGGTTAAGGTAGGGATAAGAATATAGTCTGCTGAGCTTAATTAAGAGCTTAATTAAGAGATACTGAATCAAATGCAAAGGTTTTCCCCATTTATGCAAAAGCAGAGGTCAGCAATTTTTTTTTTCTATCAGAGACCAGTCATAAGAATTTGGGGTTTGTAGGCAATACAGTCTCTGTTGCAACTCTTCAACTCTGCTCTGGTAGTGCAAAAGCAGCCATATCCAGCCCGCCTCTGCCTTTTCCGTGGTTTTAACATGGCACAAAATACTATTCTTTTTATTTATTTTTAATCCATTTAAAAATTACAAACCATTCTTAGATCTCAAGCACTGGTCCAGATTTGGCCTGAGGGCCTTAATTTGTAGACCCCTGCCCTAAAGCTTAAGAGTTTTTTATTTTCTGTTCGAAGTGACTGCCAGAGTTTAAAACAATATTAACATATCTCATTTATATGTATAGTACTCAAGAATTTACAAATTACTTTCATACATGTTATTTCTTGCTGAAACTTGTTGTGGAAATAAAACCATTTTTTTTAAGAGAGAGTGATAGAGGGAGAGAGAGCGAGAGAGAATTTTTTAATATTTATTTTTTAGTTTTCGGTGGACACATCTTTGTTGGTATGTGGTGCTGAGGATCGAACCCGGGCCGCACGCATGCCAGACGAGCGGGCTACCGCTTGAGCCACATCCCCAGCCCTGAAACCATTTTTAATTGTGCCCATTTTGTTTTGCAAATGAGAAAAGTGAGGCTTAAGGAGCCTCCATGATTGGCCTAAAGTCATATATCCAGTATAGAATAGAAATAAGACTGATGGGTTTTTTTTCACAAGTTTTCAGAATGTGTTAGCATGCTCAGGAGTTTTCATAGTTGGAAGAGAATATAACCCCAACATTAGCTGCAGCCTTGTTCCAGAAGCCTGGATACAAAGAAAGTGATACCTTTGCACCCAAATGAGTATGTATTGTTTACTTTTCCTAGGCTCTCCTGGTAGCATGGCTGCTGTATATTTCCCTGTTTGTTCCAATACATTCTCCTAGAGAATTCAGCCTGAAAATTTGGGGCAGAGTATAACCACAGACCATACCTTAAGTGTATATTGTTTGATTGTTTTACTATATTCATTAGGTTGATATAAGACTGACCTGGTTTGAATCCTGGGTCTGTCATTTACTTTACCATGTGATCTTGGACCAGTAATTAGACCTCTCTGAGCCTCATTTTCCTCACTGATACAGTGAAGATTAAAAATAGCAATACTGCTGTGATTGAATGAGATAGTATATGAAGCCCTTAGCGCCATCACCTCACCTGGTCTTTTGACAGAGGCTATATAGCAGGCCAAACCACATGCAGCAAAGAGCTTTATGTGAGAGAATTGGCCTTAAGTCCACAGATGTGCTTTTGCAGGGGACCAATCCTCCCATATCTAGAGAAAATAAGCCGGCACCATATTTCCTTCATACCTGGACCTTGAAAGCTAATCATTATTTACATACTTTATGTTTTTTTGACCAAAATTTTCAAGAGCTACATGGTTTGTGTTTTATAGGAAAACTAATTCCAAGACATCAGTCCATCTTTAAAAATAACCAGTTTTTCCATGGCATCAGTATACCTGAACCTGAAGACATGGTAAACTGCTCTATTTTGGATATTTTATTTTTTGTGTTGCTACTTTCTATAAAAAGGTAGTTATTTCTTTTTTAATATTTATGCTTTTGGCTTCTATTTTCTATACTAAATATGAACACAGATCAATGTTAAATTTAAGTTGAAATATATTTAGTGTCTTACATAATGCCTTGATCATTTTAGTCAAAGCACTGATGTTAATTTTTCCCCAAAATAATTATTTCTTCATAAACAGTACTTAGTCTTCCTTATTTTGAAGATATGCATGCTCAATTTTTTCAGCTTATGAAACAAAGTTCAAATCAATTTAAAAAAAAAACTTTTTGGGGAGTTGGATATTTAGCTCACTTGCAGAATTTTCACCTAGCATATGCAAGAAAGACCCTGGATTTAGTCCTGGCCCTAAAAAAACCAAAATAAAACAAAAAAAAAACCCACTTTTTTGTAATTTTTATTTTTCTATGTAAGGTCATTTTACAAAATAATCCTTGTTATACTCATTAAATTCCAAATTATCCATCATCTCTGTGCTCTTGCTATGGTCTCTGCCTTTATCTGGGAATGTATCAATAACCATTTGACTCTCTTGCCCTCTGTAGACATTGATTTCTTGTCTGTGTTACCCAAGTTCAGACTATGACCTTTAAAACTCCATATGGTCTAGAATCTGCCTAGGGAAGGAAAGGAATGTCAAGAGAGGCACGCATCCACACTCAAGCTGTGTTGGAATCAGAGCAGCATAGGGATGGGAAAACGTCTGAGAAAGTCTGAGAAGCCAGATCATGATATATGGCATGTGTGAGCAACCTGAGGTTCAAATAGTCCCAACTATCTCTAGACACCCTGTTCATTTAAAGTCAATTAATTGGTGTAATACCTTGATTTGTACTGATTTTTTCATTTTATTTCTTAAAATCTTCAAATATAATACAGGGTTATGGGTTGAATTATAAAATTAAAGATTATCAAAGAATATTTATATAACATGTGTTTAAAGAATAAGATACAACAAACTCACACGAGTCTGCAGCCAAGTTAAAGACAGAGAATATTACTATTGTCTTTGGAGCTTCCCCATCTCCTTTCTTTACTACTCTGAACCTTGTGTTTATCTCTTTGTTGATTTCTATAATTTTATACATGTAGTTCAACATATTCTCATGAATGCTCAAAACATCCTTATAAGTAGATCAGGCACAGATACTAGAACACCATGATAGGATTTCAGAAGCAGATATTTTTTAGCTTCAGATTTGAAGCTTTCCCATCTCCTTCTCTCCAAAATAACCAACACCAGTTATAAGACAGTCAGTGCAACTTTCTTGAAATTAAGACAATAACTCCAGTTTAATGACTTTCAGAATTTTACATCGGTATAAAATAGTTAAAAACATGATTTTTTAAAAACTATATAAGGAATCATCTAACATATTAAGGGAAGTGTACTTAATGTCACTTGTAATATTTAACATATATGAGAAATATATGTTACTTTGTTGTTATATAACATTGAAATTCTTTATTTTGTTTTCCAGGAAACTCTTGAGGAAAAGTTCTCAGATGCTTATCCTGTGGCTTTGAATTTCATGAAGGTACTTAGAATTAATTATAACTGGGCTAGGGGTATAGCTCAGTGGTAACATGTATACCTAGCATACTTATAGCCCTGGGTTTAATCCCCAGCACCAAAAATTTAATTAATTATAACTGTTATTGACTGCAAATTGTAATGACTAAAGCCAATAATTCTGGGAGGGATGGACAAATAATTCCAAAGTGAAATATAGTCATTAAAAATGATAAGGAGGGCTGGGATTGTGGCTCAGTGGTAGAGCGCTCGCCTAGCATGGGCAGGTCCTGGGTTCAATTCTCAAGACCACATAAAAATAAAGGCATTGTGTTGTGTCCATCTACCAAAAAAAAAAAAAAAAGATATTCTCTCTCTCTCTCTCAAAAAAATGATAAGGAATATCATTATCATGGGGTAGCTCAGTTATAATGCCCTTACCTAGCAAGTGTGAAGCCCTGGATTCTATCCCTAGCACCACCACCTAAAAAAAAAAAGATAAGGAACTATAAAATAATTTTAGCTAAAGGAACATAAGTGGCTTAAGCAGTAACAGTTCTAACATATCCACCAAAATTAGTAGCTAAGACCAGGCAAAAGAGAACCATGCAGACCTATATAGAGGAAACCTACCCCATAGAACAGACCTATCCCATACAGTAGACCCAAGAGAGATTGTTAAACAAGGAACAAATTTTGATCCAAAGCTGAAGAAACTTACCAATGACCTGTCTGCCATTTGTATTTTGCCAACGGAGGCCACACTAGCAGGTGCTAGTGACCCATCCATCATGGATGCTGAAAGTACTCTGAGAGATGGACATGAAGATCCAGAAGTGATATCTGTCCTTAACAATCAGTTAAGTTCTGTCTGTAGCAGTACTTTCTAAATGTGGCTGCTCAGCAGAATGACCTGGGACCTTTGTAAAAATACAGTTTATATATCTAGCCTTAAGTTCACCAGGAGAATTTCCATGAGTAGGACCTTGAAATTTGTTCTCTTTAAACATTCTCTTAGATGGCATGATATACAACTCAGTTTGCAATTCATCTGGTCTAGCCAGTGGCCTTTTAGATGACCCAGAGTCAACTTTATAGATTAGTGTTTGTGCTAGGTGCTTGTGTCTGCTGTGGTGCTATCCAGGGTGCTGGACTTCTTCAGTCTGAGTCCTCCTGAGGCTCAGAGCCTGACACCTCTAAGCTGACACTGCTCTTTCCAGTGCTGCACCTGACTTCAGCTGCCAGCTGACCTGCCTCCACCCCACACTCTGCAGGTCCTGTCTTAGAAGCCTCTATTCCCTGTCCTTGTTCTGGTGAGTGTTCTGACCCACTAGCAATTTAGCAAAACCTCCAAGCAGTCAGACACTGCATGCCCAACCCATTCTCAGGTATAGGCCAGAGTCTGCCTGTAGTTGTTCCTCACGTTAACCTGAAAACTCCACAGAGCACAACTCTAGGGGACATAAACGTTAAGTTATAGGACAAGCTCCTGATCTTCATCTCCAAAAGAGGAAGCACCCTGACGGCTTGCCTAAGAATCTAGATGAAGCTGGGTTTGTTACTCAATTCTTTGATTTAGACCCATTAAGTATTGATTAGGGATCCAAGAATTCTCTATGTGGTCAAGACTTGTGCTATTCTATGACTACACCCTATCTCCTAGACTCCTGCCCATGTTAGATAATATTATCTTGAATTAATGATAATTAAGACATCTTTGACAACAAGTAACTACTATTTGCAATAACAGGTAGTTTTCCCATGATACCAGATTATAACCTATGCAGGAAGGTGCTCAAGTTGGTGAAGTGTTGGCCAATGACAGTGCCAATGATAGTAGTGACATGTATCAGCCAATCTGTGGCAGGTCTTTTGTGTTCTCTTCGTTGAGTTTAAAATGAGTCCATGGCCATAATCTTTATTATTGATTACTCATTTGTCTCCATAGTCCTGACCATCCTACCACTGTTTCCGTTTGTATGATCATCAGGAACACTGTAAATGACTAGAGATTTTGTTAGAGAACTTTCTGCCAAATTTGAAAATCATTTTTGTTTTCTTCTGTTGTTGTTGTTGTTGTTTGTTTGTTTTGTTTTGTTTTGTTTTGTTTTTTAAGAAAAGGATCCTGACTTGGACTTACAGTTCCAATTTCTCATATCCCATCTTTAGGACCTCTTCCATATTGGAAGCACAACTATCAGGGTGTACCTCTGAAAACTCACCATCTTCTTGATGTACATAAAATTATTAATCCAGGCAGGCAAAGACTCAGAAGCCCTAGCTCCCACCCAATCAAAAGCAGTGCTTCCAAAATTAATCAGCAGGACATTGTTCCAGTCTAAGCTTCTTCTTAGAATCAGAAAATGCACTTTGAAATAAACACTCAAAGGTCTTTATTGATGAATAAAACTAGATTTCAGTAGATCAAAAGCCCCTACAAGAATGTGAATGAGTGCTGGGGATATAGCTCAGTTGGTAGAGCATGCACAAGGCCCTGGGTTCAAT